GTATACGCGATTAAGTAAAACTTTGTCAAGGAAAAAGAGGCGAGGAAAGCTTGTTCGTCTGTTCGGTATAGGCACGCTGAGATTTAAGAAATGGCCAGAGACAATACTGCAATGGAATAATTATTTATCTGTTGGTATACATTCATACACATTACTCATTGGTGTCATACACTGATATTACGCAGTATAATGTTTAATTAACCGAGCATAACAAATTGCTTCCCGCAGTATGCATTTTTAATTAATAACTTGTTAATAATAGAATTTCAAACCGAGTACCTACTGTGAGACTGTGAGTAATGAAACTAATAACCGATTGATGACAGTTTTTCGAATTATATTTAATGAGATAATGCGCTCTGATTTCCGGACTTTTGCGTATTCAATCCGCAAAAGTTGCAATTTTTAGGCTGTGCGGGTCGTCATGGTGACATATGACAAAACGTAGGATTTTTAAGATGTTTTACTTCCTTACTGTACACGAGCGCTATGGTGCAAAATGACAAAAACGTCGCTTGTTTACGCTCACTAATGTCCCTATAGATACACAGAACACGTAATGACGTGATACGAATATAATTCACCCTGGTGGCCCGTGGGCCACTTTCATACCGTGCGAGGCACTCCCCCGTTACAAACTTTAAACATTTCTTAAAATATTTCTATTAATAATAACTGTGAAAAAAAACATCTGCCAATTGGTTGTGCACCAACTAATTCTCAAAACTACTCGCTCAACCTACACCTATAACTCAGTATATCTTCTAGCAGATAACTGTATGAGTTATGTGCATGTGGGTTGCATGATTCCCGTATTTAGGTGTAAGCTATCAACCAATCAAAGCGCATGTATACCGAACTCATTACTCACGTAGTATACTATTATTTAATCAAAAATCTAAAAATAAAACTTACAAAACTTAAACCTAAAATATATTAAATTTCTCACAGTCTCACGAATCACGATATGTCTCACAGTCCCAATGTTGTTTTTGTATTATTCTGTCTATCAACTAATTGCTCTTACTTCAAAATGTCAATTTTGTTTATAAAAGTCCCCGCCCCTTGTCACGCCACCTAATGTGGCCTATACTAATTTCGGTTCACATGCAGCGACTCGGTGACAAGAAGTTTCATACTTCCTGCACGTGCTGCGAGGTCAGAAATAATAAAACTAGGACGATATGATTGCCCATATTTATATAAATTGTAATTATTTAAACATATGTTCAGTTGAATGCAACAAACAGTCAAATTCAACAAACAGTCAAATGCGACAAACAGTCTTCTCTGAGTACTGTAGCTACCAGTATATGAGCTAAATCATCAAAACTTGCTGCTACAGTATTGCATTACTTTGACTGTTAAATGTTTTGTTTTGCAGTGACGAAAGAAAAATCAACAACATTCACACAACAATTGTGTTTCATGACGAAAAACTCCATAGTTTAAAGCATCGAGTTTAAAACTAAAAGAACCTACTTAAACGGTTCAGCAGCATATCCTGTTGCCTGTTGTGTATTTTCCTTCTTTTTTACATTCTTTCACACAAACTTAGAAAATCGTATAGTTTATATAAACTTACGAGTTCTTCCGCCGTTTTGTTTATATATGTATGTAGCACTGATCAGTCATGGGCATACGTAGCCAGGCGTGGCGAGCAACAATTTCATTTACTTGTTCCCAGCGAGATGCATTGCATTTATCTAAAACCACGTGACCACCAATCAACCAGTCACGTTTGGTGTTCACCCTAGCTACATTATATAACAAACGTATTTATAGCTGTTTTTCTTTTTTCTTTTAGATTTGCAGGCCATTTCTCCAGCTATTTGAAAGAATTCCTTATCTTATTCATGGCTTTAGCATCTGTCTCAATTCTTATGATGTGCCTTATATTCGCTAAAGTAATTCAATTTCATACCGTACTACTTTGCATCGTGTTTGGTATGACTGGATTCTTCATTAATGGATCTCTACCTTTCTTCTTTGAACTCGGAGCAGAAATTGCCTACCCAGTCGCGGAAGGCATCACGTCTTCCGTAACAAAATTCACGGACTATTTTCTTCAAGGTTTGTTCTTGATTGTTTCTATGGGCCATTTTGGCGCGAAATGGATGACTTGGGTTACCATGGTTACATGTGCAGTTACGACATTACTGTTGTTTTTTGTACAAGCGAAGTATAACAGATTACTTCTTGATAAAAAGAAAACAGTTCTACCTGATTAATTGTTAATATTAAATTAAAGTATTTAGCTAGACACAGAACATTTAGCTTTGTTATATAGCTAGGGTGAACACCAAACGTGATTGGCTGATTTGTGGTTACGTGACTTCAGATAAATGCAATGTTTCCTGCCGGGCAACAAGTGTAAAATTGTTGCCCGCCCCGACCGGCTACGCGTCCGTAAATAAACAAAATGGAACCCGTTATTGGAGCTTCGGCTCTGTGGGTGCGCCCTTCCTGTTTTTGGGTAAATTAAATAAATAAATAAATAAATAAAATGGCTGCACAACTAGCATAATTAGAAACTACGATTTTCCAAGTTATGTTCAAATAAAGAATGTAAAATACACAACAGGCAACGGGATATGCTGCTGAAACCGTTTAAGTAGGTTCTTTTAATTTTAAACACGTTTACACTATAGAGTTTTTGTCACGAAGTACAATTGTTGTATGAATGTTGATTTCTGTTCGTCGCTATATAACAAAACGCTTAGTGTCTGTTCCCTCGGGAAATAGTTTTGTTTTCCCTCGAATTGAGACTCCTGTAAAAATTCAAGATCGTCTGACAGATAATTGGGAAGTGAGTTTATATGACAAAACAGGGCAGGCGTACTCCATGACGGGGTGGATGCATGTGGTGTAAAAGGTTACAAGTTCTTTGGTTGCAACGCCTTGATGCCCGCGAGGAATGCTGGTCTTAGTAATCATCGCCTGGGAAAATTAAACAATTCAAAATGGTCACTATCTAAATTTTCCCGGGCGATAACTAATAAGACCAGCGTTCCTAGCGAGCATCAAGCCGTGTGACGTCATCATGCATAAGGTCTATTGTTTAAAAACTTTACATGTAGTATGGTGTTAAAATCTGCAATAGTATGAATTAAATTGTTAAAACTATCCTAAAAGGGCTGTTTATTTGAGTTACATATATATGAAGATTTTCTTCAATCTATTTGTTTTACAAATTGGAACACTAAATTTCCAATATGTTTATTTCTAAGGTTTACAGTAGATTCATTAAGATCAGGAAGAAGATGTTGTAGTTTGTGGTTCGGATCACGGCAAATTTCAATAACAGTTTAGTTGTTAGATATTCCCTGCGATCATGCAGTGAGGATAAGCCGCAGACTTCCAATGCCTCAGCATAGATGGTTGATGGGGAAATTATTCACAGGGCTCGCTTCTGTAACCTTTCTAGATCGTCGGAAAGGTAGTTAGGGAGCGCATCGTGAAAAACAGGACTAGCGTACTCGATAATTGGCCGAATACAAGTGGTGTCAAATGTTAGGAGATATTTCTCATCGATTCTGGCTGTTTTTAGCTGAGTCAAGAAATAATTCGTGTAGATGCCTTTCTAACAATTTCCGAAATATGATAGTTCCACTTCAGATTGTTTGATATATTTCGGCCCAACAGTTTAGCGCTTGACAGAACATCAAAATCAAATGGACTGTTATTGACTAGAACCAACGGGAACTCAGGGTTGCTCATTTGGTTTCTTAAGCTTATTCTAGCTTTCTCCATGAATTAGTCTACAGATTCTTGGATCTTACTTGTGTTTCCTTTTTGTACAACCTCTGAAATAGTAGTGACGTGGTGTGACGTCGTCCACATATTTCCATAAATCGCTGTTATATATGAACGTCTATGTCATCGATCGTCAGTACAAATAGCTATGGTCCTAGCTTCGTCCCCTGAGGTACCCCAGCTGGGACGTTTTTCCATTCCGACATACAATCCTCCGCTATCTTTCTTCTCTGTTTACGGCACGTTGGAAAGTCCATGATCCAACAAATGATCTTTCGAGGAAGATCCAGATTTGAGAGCTTTCGGTCGTTTCGGAATTAAGATGCTATATGGTCTATTAAGTCGAATGCTTTCCTAAAATCAAAGAGAATGACTCTATATAACCGTGGAACCGTTTCCATCCATAACTTTATTCCACTCATGCATCATACCAATCAATGCTATTGTCCTAGAGGACTTTTTTTGGTATAGCCGACTTCACACAATTCTCTATAACAAACTCTTCTGCGACCAATATTTTACGAAGCGTTTCAGATTAAATTTCACAAAATGCAAAATAATATACCTACAGTATATATTTCGGAAATTCATTGTTGTATAGTTAAAAGTTCTAATCTTTTAACTACTCTTGTTGTTTTGTGAGAATTTTGCCTATATACTTACTGTTACTGAGTTGGGTTGCACTACAGGGTGTCCCCAAAAAAACGAAAACAATTGAAATCACTTATTGTTAAAATTTTAATGCCCTACCAAAAAGCTGAACGTAATGATGCGCGCGTAAATTATTGACAAGGTACATAGGCGTATGGGCCGGGGGGGATCCCCCACCCCCCCGCAAAATTTTTACGGTCGCGCAAGAATCCATGCCATATTCGGGCAAAACATTAACATTTCGGAAAAATTATAATATGCCCGGAAATATTTTTGTACGTGTTCGAAAATTACGGTATATACGGGAAAATATTTTTGCTATATCCGGAAAATTTTTTGTATATTTGCGAAAAATGCGGGATATTAGGGAAAATGTTTTGGTATGTCCGGAAAATATTACTGGACATTTTTTGATATATCCGGGAAAAATTTTTTTTTTTTGGCCCAGTCACCGCGCTCACCAAAAATTTTGGGGAGAAATATTAATTAGCGCGACGATCGGGCTAAGTGTACTGTGCCCCCCCCCCCAAACAAGATTAGCCCTGTACGCCCATGCTGCTCTTGTTAAAGTTTCAAAGTAAATTTCAATAGAATTCAAAGTAAATTTCAAGTTTCTTTATGCATAAAAATGATAAAATTTACTTATGTCAATCATTTTATATGCACTCGTGGGAACCAGCAGAGTGCATGCTAAAGCATTCAAATTCTAACAATTAAATTGTTTATATTGATGACAGTGGCGTGCTGGCAGGGGGGGCCGGGGGGCCACGGCCCCCCAGCTGGCAATTCTTGGGGGGCGCAAAAATGAAAAGGGGGCGCCGATCCAGCCCTGAATTTTGAAAGTGGGTGGAAAAAAACGCGAAATTCGAAAGAATATAGTTACTTCCGCCAAGAAACTGAAGAGATGTGTTTATAGGCTTATAAACAGACTAAGAATATAGGCGACAAAGTGATATATTAAATTATAGACTATTTTGTCTAACCGTATTTGCTAATTTGCTACCTCACGGCTCACGCGAAATCGTTCATATCGAAACATGATCAGTGATCACACGCAATGTCTCATTACCGGAATATTGGTCAGGTTTCGAAGCGATCACGGGAATTATGCTCTTTTTTCCTGGCATTATGCCCTTATATTACGCCCTTTATTTGCTTCACGAACCACGAGAGCGGCGCAAATTAGATAATTGAAGTTATGATAATGTAAAGTTGTGTACACAATTTAGTTGTTTGCGCAAGAAACATCATGAGTAATGTAAGTAATGAAATAATGCTGAAACGCGCCCTTTTGGCAGCCAGGCAAAGAAACCTTAAAATGCGTGGGGTCCGTGTGTTGTTATATAAAAGAGATGTAAGTTGTAAATGTATTCAGATCACTAGATCAGTAGAGAATAGAATTGGGGTTAGATTAATAGCTGGAAGTAGTTAGCATTGCCCAATTTAAAGCTGGGTTACAGTCCATTCTGCGCATGTGCGGGCTTTGTTTACATCTTTTGTTTTGGTTTGGATCCACTTCAATTGTATAATATGAAGTATAACAGCAACGCAATAATTGCCAATAAACAAATTTTAAAATGAAGGAGTCAGGAGTGAAGTTAATTTTTTTTTTTAAATTGTCGTCTGAAAGACAAGCAATTAAATATTTTAACAGACCACCAATGGAAGATATATTGTTGATCAATTCGGAAGTTTTCTTTTGTGTGCCTCGTTAATGAAACATTCACAAGAGGCCGCGACACGGCAAAGGTGCGAGTTCGGCTCAGTTCGCAACTCATTGTGTTTTGATAATGTTCGGCATTGTAAAATAAACTTTGGAAGTGTCAATGAAAGTAATCATGAATCTTTCCTTGGAGTATTTGTTCGTCGAAACACATTGTCAGAGTCATTGTTGCCGTCATGGCAGAAACACTCGGAGAAAGCTTTTCGCTGGAAGAAATGGAGACGATATATTCATGTCGCGGCTTCTGTCTTCGATAGAGAGCCTGCAAAAGTATGGGTAGTTTTTGCTCAAGCGCGTGCCACGAAGAGGATTTTGATACATGTATAAACAATAGAAGGGTTCAAGAACGTGGCAGTGACCAGACGGTGAGTTTGTATTATTGCTATTAGCTATGTACAAAACTGTTCGTTATAATTAAACGTGGTTCACACATGTAATCTTATTATTTTCGTTCATTAGTTTATACATGTTTCGTTTACGCAAAAAAATGGCCTGAACAATGTTCATTTGAGAATATGTAATGTTGTTCATTGTGATTGTTCACTCTAAACGAAGGATAATGATCATCTAACAATAGAGATCTATGAATAAACTTTGTTTACATAGTTTAATACTTTGCTTGCCAAGAATAAGCGCAGACATACATATGAGATTTTGAGTGACAGTACATTTCTGAAAGCTTTAACACATATGATTTGTTTTATTACATACCCTGCATAATTATGCATATCCTTGCCGAGTAAAATATCAAATTATGTAAAAAGAGTTTACCCGTCTAATACAAGTCTACAGAGGAATTGGTGGTAAGAAATATCAGTGTTTCACTGTGCTTGAGTCTTTGTATTTAATTAATGATAAATATCTTTACATTTCAGAATCTTGTGGAAGCAATGGATTTAATTTTAAATGCCCTAAGAGCATTGCCGATTTGGTAAATAATGAATTGCCAGGTGCACCGCTTCAACCAGACCCGGAGGAAAACCCAGAAAATGTCCCAGAATGTTGTGAATGTGGATGCTGTGTTGCAATACCAACGCAACTGGGTCAATTGGAAAACAAATGCTGTACACAAACCAGACAGCCTTGCATGACCCTAGCCCCTCTGTTCCCCACAGTTAGTACTTGATGGAAACGTTCTGGACCTGGCCATGCATTACAGGGCCAGGAAGACTTTTTAGTGTTAAATAATGTTAGAAACAATTTTCACCATGCTGCTTACAAACAATATGTACTCTGGCAACATGAAAAGATTAGGATGTGGGAACAGGATAATGATTCCAAGCTGTTGTATTACAGCAATACAGAGACAATTTCCTTCTGCAAGATTGTAAATATTTGTTGCACATGTTTTTATTATTATTATGTTATTGATCATTGAGGAAAACTTTATTATTCATTAACCTATTTTACTGCAATTATCTTCCCATGACAGGGAGGGTCATTTTAAATAGTTTGAAAGAACTTGGGTAATTCACACTTGTTAAAGCCTGTTCACACAAGCGATTTTAAACTGTGATTTTCTCCTTTCGGCATACAGTATGTGATTTAATTAGCAAAATTACAGGAAATATTACTTTGCATGGCTTAGCTCATACATTTGTTGTGATTTTTCACTCTAACACATACACCAAAAGAAGAAAATTGCAGTTCAAAATTGCTTCTGTGAACTAGCCTTTATAGGTTATGTTGCGATGTGCCCCATTGCTTCAAATTTATTTTAAGCTTTCTCTGTCTACTAACCACAGCAAATTCTGCTAACATATGAAAGTCTTTATCATTTTAATGGGTTAAATCTTTATGGACAGTAATATTTCATTTTATAAAAGACAAGTTATCAAATGCATTGCATGTTCCAGTACAACATTTGGTACTGACATTGATATTTTTATTCTTCAAAATTACTCCTGGCTCCTTACTTCAGTTCTGAAAAGTGTATGGCTGTTTCGCTCCACATAAGAGCTCATCAGCAAGCCTGGGAAACACCGACGATTAATGAATCCAACATGGACAGCCTGACCCACTAGTTGGGTCCGGAGTTTGAAATCAGAATTTTCCTTCTCCTAGGTGGACTACCTTTCAGGGATTATGAGCTCCACCTACCCACAGAAACTGATGGTTTTCAACAAGTTCTTTGACTGAAGGAGGAGGGACAAGGGCTATGTTAGCAGTCTTCGGTCATCACTTGCAATACCAATCCCCATACCTAAAGAAGACTTATAATTAGTTTTATTCCTGTTTAAATGCACATTAGTGCCTGCTGAGCAATGTGTTTTAAAAGCACATAATCAAGCCAAATTTTGATTTTATTAATGTTCATGCAAATCAAAATTTGGCTTCCAATAAAACATATAAATCAGCAGGTGCTACTGTGCCCTTAACATGCCTACAGAATGATCGATCAAAACATTTGTTTGAAAATGTGATAGGAAAATGAATTTCACAATAAAAACCAAAAGTCATACTTTTTCTCACCAAGGCTCAGAAAAGCATAAAATGTTATACATACCTTTATTGTAAGTTGTAGGATGTATTCAGTATTGATACTGCTTAGGAGTAAGAATCTTTACATGATTCCATCACTATTTCCATTGCTGAACATACAGATACAGATATTTCACAGCACACTCCCTATATCAGGGCTTTTCAGTGACTGGTTACATTATGAATAGATAGATAGAACCGGACTGACGTGAAGCAGACCGAGGTAGACTTTGAGCTTACAAATGGCGCTTGAGCAGCTGCCGCTATTAGTCCATACCTCATTAATGATCTGCCTCCAGACCTATGTGCCTAACCCACCCTGTCAACTTTCCCTGTGGGAGGAAACACGGAGTGCCCGGAGAAAACCCACGACTTTCGGCAGAGCGTTGACTTTTACTCTTTTCACATGAGGACTGGGTTCGAGTCACATTGAGAAGTTCTCACTGAGATTCGAACCTGCGACCTTAGAGGTGAAAGGCAAGTGCGCTAACCACTTGGCCACCGAAGCCCCATATATACTGAACAAATACTTGCTGGACATTGTCTGCATAGCTGGCAATGGCTCATGGCGGCATTGTTTCATCTGGCTGCTGATCCGTCTGGGTTTCCACAGCGCTATAAGTGCACAATAAAGTTTTGTAATGACGAAACATAATATTAACATAATTGAAATATCCAGGGATATCTGTTATATACTTACCACAATTGAATCCCACTTGATGTTTCGTATACAAGCTCGATCAGCAGAGTATTCGCGAACCCTCGTCACTTTTGATTCCAGCTTCAGTTTTGAAATGATTCCACCGACTAATACTATAGGATCATTCAAGAACACTTTCGATGCATATATACCTTTTCGCGAAATATTCTTTTCGATTTCCTGGTTGGGTTCGGCGACAAGGATTTGCCTTTGAAACTCTCAAGTAAATGGTCGCGAGTCGGCCATTGTCAACTGTGCTTTAGCGTGTTGAAATTGATATTTGATATGCATTTCCATTTGTAACAAGAGCTTACTTATCCAATGACTGGGGGGGGGGAGAATTCATATTATTTTGTATAATTTAATTTTGCCAATCCAATACCACAGATACCTTCACGTTTAGTTTCACCGAGCAAGATACACAAGCGGTTTCGTACACAATTAGTTTATATTTGATTTTGAAACATTTGCATAACGGAATAATTAATATTCGTAAAAACACACTTTAGATACATCTTTTTTAGATATAAAGTTTCTTTTTTGACCGTATTTCTTGCTTTGATGTGAACATATAAGCGAGTTAAAAACAATTAGAATTTTGACACTCCTGTGCGTCAGCCATCTTCTCTGAATTGCAAACAGTTAGGTATTACGTAATATTTAATCTATGACAATGTTTACAAAATGTGTACACATTTGAGACATGCGCAGAATGGACTGTAACCCAGCTTTAAAAGTTTAAATTTGAAAGTATTAATTTTAATTACATTCCTAATAAATCCGTATTTTATAAGTTGAATATGTAGTCAATAGATTATAGTAAATAATCCTAGCTTCTTTGGTATTGGACTTTGCTATTAATAAAAGAGATGTCTAAAGTAATAAACATAATGCACACTAAAGCGAGGTAAGTTAGTAACATGAAATCAACAACATTAAGAGCCGTTTTCTGTAATAGTCAGGTAAGACGTGTAAAATGAAAAAATTCAAAATCTTTCAAACTTTGTCAGAATGTAGGCCTATATGAAGTATTAATGTTGTGAAAGTTTTATTTGGATCGGATAAATATTGAAGGAGAGAGACGTCGAAATTGGTTTTCCCAGGCCACTTTCGGTTTTTAGAGGTCAATTTAGGGCACTACCAAAATCGCTCTATTTTGCACGTTAATGGAAATATTTCACGAAATATGATTTCGTTTTATAAATTAGAGTTATTTATTGAGTAGCAGACGAAATTTAGAGACATTTCTGTAAAAAGTGAATATTTTACAGATTTTCTTAATGTTTTTTTTATTTTCGAACCTCTTTATTATATGTCATATTAGGCAGCGAATATCTCCATTGTTACATCGATTCAGACAAAAAATTCATAACCAGGTCAAAGAAATATGTTTTTGCTTGCTATTGATCAAATAAAATTTTGGGGCAACGTAGAATTGAATTTTTGCCGAATTTTTTCGTAACCCCTAATTGACCCGAATAACCGTATGTTATGTAATCAACGTCGAGTCATGTAGTTCTATAAATAACCAAAGAGCTCGTCAAAAGCGTTTACTTCTTCGAGTAAACAAGCCTAGGCCAATAAAACTACCTTAGTTAAAGCTGTACGATTGGCAGAAAGCATTTAGGTATATAAATCACACTGTTTACAGTCGCTTATTGTTCAGGTAATGCCTATAATATATTGTATAGCCGCCGCCGCTGATTTGGCGGATTTGGTTTTAATTTTATTTTATCGGGGATATGCCGCGATAAGTATAGCAAGTGTATTTTCTCTCTCCTTCCCATAAACATCTGTTCTTTCACGACTCGTCATGCTTATAACTTTTCGAACATAAATAGTGCACGCGCTTTTTGTCAAAAACATCAGTCATTTTACGTTGAAATTGTAATTCGTTTACTTACAGTAGTTAATTTAATTAATATTAAAGCTGGATTCTTTCACCGTGATGTCATGCCAAAAGGTGTCTTTTCTATTTTTAAAAAAGACCCGCTGTTGATTTATGATTTGGTAATATTTACTGCAGTTGTATGTCTTGTATATTTGATTATTTTGTTGTTGCTCAATAACTTTGGTCAAACTTCAGACCAAACTTCTACGGACTGTTACTTATTAACTGGCCATCACTTTTAAAACAGCAAGAAGATAAAGACAACGTGTACGTGTGA